TTACATTCAGATAACTTGGACTAATGCAGGTATTTACTACCTAGTATAGATCCAGGTTAGGATGGCATTTCAATCACTTTAAAATCCTGCTAAATGCTAATTTCTGCATGGTAGAAATAGTTCGATTTCTTATCATGTATAAATATAAAGATTCCTACTTTGATAGAAGGCAAAACTCTTCTATGATTTATTTAAAATATGGAAGTAGTACTTCTGAACAACAGAGAGTGAATCCATGAAAATGGTTGGATAACTCTGAGTTTATAGGCTCTTTGGGGATGAGGTAGAGGAGAACAAGATATTCTGGCAGCGGGGAAAGGGCAGAACAGTATGGGATGGACGCAATCACATGTGGTGCTACAGAATTTCTGGTAGGGGATCGAGGGCAAAGGTGAGCCAAAATATACCTAGATGATTGAGGGATTTCAAGGGAGTTGGGACAAGTCATATTCCTCATGAATGAAGAAAAAGTAACTGGGAAAAGTAAATGCTGGTGACGATCAGCAGGTGGCTGGTGATGTCTGGTTTGTGAAAAGGCGTTCACACCAAGATGGGCTGAGGGGAGGGGAGGAGAGTGAGCATGGTTGAGGCCGAGGCACTTGGGAGGAAGAGCGAGCAGGCAGGAAAGGGTGGGCTGAATGTAGGCAGGAGCTCCCGCAACAGGAAGGGCTCCTTCAGACTGGGTGTGTGATGCTGAGGGCAGCCACACTAGTGGAGTTATTATGGTCCATGTGTTCTTTGAAAAACTCTTCCTTCCTCACAGGGCTCTGCCTCAACAGGTACCTCTACCTCTGCGATCCATTTCACTCCAGCTGTTTTTGTTCTAGGTCTCACCTGAGCAGACACTACTGATGAAGCCAAATTAGCATGGAAGTTCCACATGGAGGGGGCACTGAAGTTCTGTTGACTGAGATGAATACATTCATGTTACAGTACTGTTTTAAGGAAAGACTAATTTGATTCTCAGTCTTCAGATGGATATAATCGGGAAACAGAGTTTATGATGATGGCCACCTAAAATAGGTTCTGACTATGAAATTAGGTAACTTAAAACTCAGTCTGAATAGAGGAGCCACATATCTTTCAGTTTCCTGTTAAATTATACTATTAGCAAATTTCATATACTATTTATATAACATTATAGTTGCATAATTTTCACTCCATGCAAGACCGTCTATTTGCATAAAAGAAGAAAAAGCCCCCCGTAGATAAAGAGTTTAAGGTCTTGCTTTCCAGAGGAATGATTTAGAATTGTCTTTAAAACATAACATAAAACAAAAATGAAAACCTCATTTTACTAGCACAGTGCAAATCATTTTTATAACATGCACTGAAATTTATTTTTTTCCCTGATGAACTGCCCTTAGAGTTTAAAAGAATCTTACCACCAAATAGGCATGTACTCTGCACAAAAATGGTGAACTATTTTTAAGTACATATTTTTAACTGCTGGTTGATAATTTCATTTTGCTGTAGCATAAAAATTTAAGATTTTGGATTTAAAAACTCTGTAAGGTGGGAAAAAAGTTGCTCAGGAATAATGTTAACTAGGTGTTAGAAGCATTTGAAATCTTTAAGGGACTTTATAGCACAACTAAAATAGGGGCTCTGGTTCAAATATGATTTTGATATAGAGCTGACATTGAGGGTTCTATTCTAAGAGTCTTGTGCTGTTATTATTTGGGTTTAAAGCTATAATTACAGGCCAAGACCAGCCCCAGATTCCACATTAGCCATTTTTTACTTAAAAAACACCCGAAATGGGACAAAGGTTCTTCCTGAGACTGAGACAATATCCTTAGCTCAAAATGGTGAAGAAAGTTACAAGTTGTCCCATCTCAAAAGCCTGCTTTCCTCTAATTATCAGGAGTCCATCTGAGGAAGCCGAATCCGAAGGATTTAAAGAGGCACATGTCTGGCCACTCCCACAGTCAAGGGACTGGGTTCACCATTTACTTTCAGAGAGGAGTATTTGGATTTTCTTAAGGTGATCCGAGAAAACTGAGCATTCTAACCCTAGCGGGAAAACTCAAACTTTGAAAGTAAACAGAACCATTTCAAGCATGTACATCAGTGGATTGTTAGACTAATCTGAAAACAATAAGCAACGGAGTCAGAGACTTCACATTCACATGTGCTTTTTGTTTTTCTCACGTACACGTGCACAGCTTAATTTGGCACAATGTGAGCCCCAGGGGTAGGTTAGCGGATCATATAGTCACATCATGACACCAATTGAACCAGAGAGCTCTTTTAAAAAATATCACATTTTAATATAAAAGGCTATGCTATAAATTACTACATAGTAAATTCAATACTCTGAAAAAATACCACCCTGGAAAACCGCATCAGAATTTCAAGTTTGCAGTAGCTGAAGTTCACAGCAAACTCCTGTACAATGGTATTCACAGCCTGGAAGGCTGTGCAGGCTGCATCTTGGCAGGTGCTTTGGCACCTCCAAAGTCAACTTTTCTAGGCTGATTCAGTGAGGTTCATAAATATCTTGTTTTATTTTTGTTTATAGTTCCAAGCCAACTGATTTTCCTGATTAGCGATAAGACACATCTATGCTAAGCTAAAAAGAAACTTTGCTAGGAAAGAGATCTAGTAAAGGCACTAATAATATTCCCATAACCCAAACTTGAACTACTTACATTTCTGGGGCGGGGAATGCAAAAACAAAAACTAAGTGGCCATTTTAGTTACTTAAACCTTGTTTCCCCTTTTGGTTTAAAGCTCTTCTGATGTTCTATGAGAATTTTTCCTCCTTTTCAATATATAAATTATTTTCAACCTCTAATACAGGTCACCTGCACAAAAACATAGGGATATTAACTGAAAGAATTCTAGTTAAAAAAACAAAATGTCAAGAGTAAAGGGTATCCTCAACTTGAAAGTTCTAATATTAGGGAAGTCAAATGGACATGCATGTTGTCATTCATATTTTGCCATTCCCCTAAATATTTTCTTTGTGGTTAGTACATATCTATATAATGTGATATGGAATAACATCAACATATGGTATATGCAATAAACAAAACAGACTCGATCTGGCATGAGTTCTTTGAATAATCTTTTAAAATAAACCATCCTGTCTTTAAAAATATTAGCAGTTTTTTTCCTCACATGGAAGATTTCAAACAAGATCCTGGAATCTAAAAATGCAGAATTACCTTATATTCATAGGTGTACAGTCATCTTTCTATTTTCTTACCTAGAACAAAGCCTAACAGAAAGCAACCTAGTGGATTGTACCAGAAAAGGATGATAAATGGAAGGGGAAAATGATTGACGAGAACACTAGCCCACAATTCTTTCATGAGAGGAAAGAAAAAGTTAAGTCCTAGATAACAAGTAAGTCTAAAATGCAATCTTTGTGGGAATGCTAACGGAAAAATTTAACTATCTTCTTTACTGTGAAAAAAAATGGATTTTTAAAAAAAATTAGCATGTTTGTGTAAAATTCAAGTCACCCTTAGTTAACCAAAAAGTGTTTAAGCAGTGCAGTCGTGTCCTACCGGATAGCTGTGAGCATCTCTTTAGGCACTTCACTGGTTCATTAACATAATACAAATTAAAGCTATAAATGTACAACATTGTGCTCTGTGAAGATAGTCTAATCAAGCAACATAAACCAATGCAAAAATGTGACTTTTGGGATGCTTTTTCCTCCCTTAAGACTTGAGATCTTTTTTAAACCAGTTGTCCAAAGAGATTGTTCTGGGAATGGGGATGCTTTGGCATTGTAAAAGGAACATTGTTCAACACCAGGAAGGCAAAAGCCTTGTGCAATAAAGAAATCTAAACTAGATTTCTTTATAGCTCTGTAGTAAAAGGACACTTCTGCAGTGACATACATAATAGGGGGAAAGTTTGTTGAGTCTTTTTCTCTCTCTCTCTTTTTTTTTTTTTACATATTGCACTCTTGTGTTGTTGTTGTTCAATCACATTAATGCATAGAAACACAATTTTTACCTTTGAATAATCAACTGTTTAACCTATCATAAGAAAAACCGTGGAAAGTAAGTTCTAGAAGCCTAACAGGAAAAAAATATAGGCATATTAACCTTCCTCTGCTTACTGAAATATAGAAAACACTATGAGAAAAGAAAAATGTGCAAAGAAAATTTTTGGTCAGTCTTGTGTGGGTACATGTTTATATGTGCCAACTAAATGAACTGTAAGCAGTCCTGTGAGCACTGATTACTCTGATGACTGAGGATTACTATCAGTGATAGAAAGGAGTGTGCATAATTCCACTTTGAATATATACATCTGACATGGAAAACGGAATCTTCTGTTTCAGAAGAGAAAGAAACTAGCTGAATTTGGCATTTCAGTAGCATGCTATAGAATTCATCATGATCAATTTCACATTAAATTATGGACAATGGCTGTATCACATTTCATGTTATCGCCAATAGCAGTAAAAAAAAAAAAAAAACAAATAAAAAAAATAAACAGTGCCTGACAAATAAACTCCTGGAGACACAGATACGTGTCCTGTGAGCAGCTTAGTTCAACAGCGCATGCTTCTCCTCCACCAGGTGTAGGACACAACCTTAAAATTCTAGAATGGCCAGAGGAGGTCATTCATTGCTGAATTCTGATATCTGAAAAACAATTGCTCGAGCAGATTGTAAGCGCTTTTCCTTATTTAAAAAAAAAGGAAAGAACAAAAATACACATACACACAAACCCCAAAGCACTGAAGTTAAGCATTAACTAACCAGGTTCATGATTTATGATCAGTATCCAAAAACCCAACTACAAACAATGCCAAGTAGTGCTCCTCAGTATTATTTTTGCAATTGTTAGTCATGTTAAGCATCAAGGAAAAGAAAACACATCATTGCACATTACAGCCGCCCCCAAAAACGGCTAAAACTTTGACACTAGAGAATTGAATAATGTTTGATGCTACATCACAAACAGCTTCTGATGTCTATCCTATGTGAAAAGGTCTTTACACATATATGGTATCTTCCCTGGGCGATGCTTCAGGTCAAATGCCGAGTTATGGCACGAAGAGCATAGAGAAGCTCAGCTTGCATCCGTGCTTCCATTAGAAGTAAATTGACATGAACCTAGAAATCAAAGTGTTACCAATTTAGTGACCATTATAAACAACTGAAACAACTTTATTTCATATATCAGACATTCACAAATGTATTATAACATTAGGTGTTATAATTTCACCAGTATTACAGACACACATACAAACACACATGCCTGTGCATGTTTGTGTGTGCACATGATGTACCACTCATAAGAAAACTGTTTATTAAAAACATGTGAGCAGTAAAAATGACCCCTAGAATCTTAAAAAGTCCAGTAATTTTCTTAGGATAGCTATAAAGCCAGACAATCCTTTGGGTTATAAAACGAAAATAATTTTTGCAAATTACAATTCTACAAAAAATACTTTCTTCCAGATGTAAAATTTTATATGGCTGAAAATCAGCCTGACATTTCCTATAGCCTGTACTTACTCCTTGGAAAGTTCTTAAAAACATTTTTTACTATTTACAGGCATACCTAATTTTGTTGAGCTTTTGCTTTAACGCACTACATAGACACTGCTTTTCTTTCTTTTTTCACAAACTGAAGGTTGCATTGCATTGAGCAAGTCTATTGGCGTCATTTTGCCAACAGCATTTGCTCACTTCTTTGTCACATCTGGTAATCCTCACAACACTTCAAACCCTCCACCACAAAAAAGATTATGACTCACTGAAGGTTCAAATGATGGTTAGCATTTTTTTGCTAAAAAATAAACTATTTTTTAATTAAGGTAACTATACTGTTTTGTTTTTAAAGACATGATACTATTATACACTTAATAGGATACAATGTATTATAAACGCAACTTTTACATGCACTGGGAAAACAAAAATTCCTGTGGCTGGCTTTATTGTGATATTAACTTTGCTGCAGTGGTCTAGAACCAAATCAGAATATCTTTGAGGTATGCCTGTACATGGGAGAAACCAAGGTGAAAATCTGAAGCTTAAAGCAATCTGAAATGAGTACCTGGTAGATTACTGAATGGTGACAAAGTTTTGGTTATGTGTTTTGTCCAATGTGGTGTGTAAAATAAAAGTCTAGCATTGGCCTTTGAAATACTGGATCTGACCCTGATGCTAGGAGATTGAGGGCAAGAGGAGAAGGGGGCGACAGAAGATGAGATGGTCATATGGCATCACTGACTCAATGGACATGAATGTGAGCAAACTCTCACATACTGAGACAGGGAAGCCTGGAGTGCCACAGTCCATGGGGTCGAAAAGAGTCAGACACGGTTAAGGGATGAACAACAACAACTTAGATATGCTTAGCTTGCCTAGAGTCTTTCATATACAGCTGTGAACAAGCACCTGGGGGAATTTTTGAGGGGGATACATCTCACCTGATAGGTTAAAATAAGCACCCACAGATCTTCAAAAGTTTTTACAAAGAAGTATGATATATTTAAATTATTTTGATATCTTTCTACAGGTTAGATATATCACTGGATCTATTGATGAGTAAGGAGAATTTCTAGATACCACTGAGTCAAGGGAGAAACTGTAATGCAAACTTATAAGCAGAGCATAAAGATCTATCAAGGAGAGATGCTGGAGGTAAATGGGCATTTATCTGATGTGTGATTGGCTCTAAGACTTCAAGAAAGACTGCTAGGGATCGAGGTCCTAACATTCTCTATCAAAGTCATATAGTTAATTAGTGAATATTAGGACTCTAAAAAGGTTTTCTTACCTCAAGCTTAGGAACTGTGGTACAAATGGAAGATTCTTGGATTTAAAGGTCAATAGACCCATGACTTAAGGCCATACTTATACTATACTATTATATCAGTCATTTATTAGGTCTTAAATAATGTTTCCTATATATTGATATTTCAATCCCCCAAAATCCTCATATAATAATATACTTGGCTCAGAGGTCTGCATTATATTGTCAAAACACTAAATTACCAAATTGGAATGAGAACTATTGTTCTGATAGGTTAACTGTAAAATGGCTAGAATGAATAAATCTCTAAATGGATACGTCTTCTGGGCCAGATTCAATTTTCAGATCCAATCTTTCAAAGGCCAACACTAGGCTTTTATTTCACACACTACACTGGGCAAAACACATAACTAAAAGTTAGTCACCATTCAATAAATTTGAATTTTAAAACACTGTAAAAGAAAAAAACTGATGGCCAAATGATGCCACTTCCAACTTCTCTGATGGTGCTGATTTATTAATATTTTCACAGTTAATTTTTCATAATCATTACTCCTTACGTGGAATATATATCTATGATAAGTCACGAAACATACCTTTTCTGAGTGTTTGAACTGACGCCAGTAACTATCATACATGCGCTTGGTAGTCCTCTCAGGATAGCAGGTCACTGTCTTAATGTAAACCTTCAGGCTTCGTTCAAGTAACTGATTAACTTCTCCATAATCATAGTCATCATACCTGTAAGCAATGTGATAGCAAGCTTTAGAATGGCAGAATCAAAGTTTCTAAAGTTATACCAAGACACAATAATTATCTAGTAATTAAATACCAAAAGTTCATTCATTAACTCATTTAAATAACACATATTTGAGTGCCTACTATAAGCCTTGTAGTTTCCAAGTACTCCTTGAGGCACTGATGAAACACAAATGAACAAAATAGACAAAAATCCCTGGTCTCATGGAATCTAAAGTCTATTGGAGAAAGAAGAAAAATGAAAAAGAAAACTATATATCAGATGGTGACAACTGCTACGGAGATAAAATACAGCTGAGGGCTGGGAGGAGAGTTGTGATTTTAGATAGAGTGGGCAGGAAGGCTTCTCTAAGAGACTGACGTCTAAGCTGATACTGGAAGGAGAAGGAGCAAGTGTAAAACCCTCAGGTAGGAGTCTACCGTCTCAGTGAAAGTGAAAGTCGCTCAGTCGTGTCTGCCTCTTTGCGACCCCATGAACTGTAGCCTGCCAGGCTCCTCTGTCCCTGGAATTCTCAAGGCAAGAATACTGGAGTGAGTAGCCATGCCCTTTCTCGAGGGGATCTTCCCGACCCAGGGATCGAACGCAGGTCTCCTGCTTGGTAGGCAGATTCTTTCCTGTCTGAGGCACCAGGGAAGCCCCGAGTGTCTCAAGGAAGAGGGAATAATCAACTGTGTCTGATGCTGCTGAGTAGGCAAAGAAGACACCACTGAGAACTGGTCGAGGCGACAAGCTGTGGAGAGGCGAAGGGCAACCTCAGAAAGAGGAGTTCCATAGACTTGCTGCTATGCAGGAGTAAAAGCATGACACTGCAGTCGGTTCACAAGGAACAGGGGATAAGAAAATGGTGACACAGATACACAAAATGTTTTCAAAGGGGTCTGCTGTGCATGGGAGCAGAGGTGTGAGGCAGTAGGCAGAGGAAATTAAGGATGAAGAAAGGATGGTTTTTTGAGATGATGAGAGAAATAAAGGCATGTTTACATATTGATGGGAAAGATCCGATTAAGAGAGTACAGCTAGTTATGCAGGAGAGAGAAGGGAGAATTGCTAGAACTGGGATCTTTAGATGAGAGGAGATGGGGTTCTGTGCCCTAGTGCATAGGAGTGTAGATAGTTCATTCATAAGATGAGAGAAGAACAGCGTAAATGGGCACAGAAATAGCTATGAGGGTAAATGTAGTGGTGGGAGCTTGTGGGATTTTCCTTCTGTATTTTCAGTTTATTTTTAACCCAAGCATAATACTTAGGTAAAAAAAAAAAAAAAAACACTGGGATTTTATATAAGCTTTATTTAGTAGCATCCAGCAGAGAAATATCACCATATTTATTTATTGTCTTAAATAGATTATTTTGAATATAATATTAATTTATAACATGTATTGAATTAAAATCTGTTAGTGTTTATTTTTCTTAATTAGGTTGGTATAATATGTTTTAAAATGTGATGATTTTTTCTAGAATAGTAAATGGGCAAATAGTGGAGCTACTATTTACCATCATAATAGTATCTTTTAGGTAGAATATTTCGTATTAGTTGACTTTTCCAGGAAATTTAGGATTTTTTTAAGTCAAAGTTATAGAAACCACTTTGCTTAACAAATAGAATTCTAATTCCATTCCATAAGGGCTTTGTGATACTATATCAGAAAAGATACAGTACAGAGTCAATTCAATGTATTCATAACTGGGGATTTTCTCTTTCGGCACATCTCCACAGAAGTCTTCAAACCCAGCTCAAAAAGGATGTTCTCCAAGAAGAGCTTTCCTGATTAGACCACTCAGTCTCATTCACTCCTTCACTCTAGGTTCTCTCAATTCTAATCTTCTAAATTTAGGTGCCACTAATTTATTCTGACTTACAGCTTCATTTCCGTATTCTTACATGAGCTTATGTAAGTTTTATGAGGGCAGACTCTATCTTAGTTTCATTTATACCCAAATTATACCATACCTTCAAAAACCAACCAACCAGCACTTGCTATAGTGATCTAACAGGATATCATAGGCTTCTCCTGTGGCTCAGCAGTGAAGACTCTGTCTGCAGTACAGGAGAAGCAGGAGAGACGGGTTTGATCCCTGGGTCAGGAAGATTCCCTGGACGAGGGCATGGCATCCCACTCCAGTGTTCTTGCCTGGAGAATCCCATGGACAAGGGAACCTGGCAGCCTAGAGTCCATGAGCTCACAAAGAGTCAGTCATGACTGAAGCGACTGACACGCCTGCACAATGGCATATCATCTGTACTTTTAAAAGGTTCAGTTCTTCCAGGAGAGATTCTCAAATGGAGAGCTTTTCTACTACTGTTCCTAGTGATTACTGATGTTTTCCCCCTCCTTAGTAAAATTTTACTACTGTATTTATATGTGCATATTAAGATATTTAAACCAAGAAAAATGCTCTTCTATAAAACAGAATTAATTTTTCACAGTCAGGAGTCCACATGTAATTTTCTCCCCAGAAGTATATACTCTTTTTTTTTTTTTTCATTTATTTTTATTAGTTGGAGGCTAATTACTTTACATCATTGTAGTGGTTTTTGTCATACATTGAAATGAATTAGCCATATACTCTTAAACAGGATAAAGGTTAAGACTCCTGTCAGAATTTTCATTTAGAAACATGTACAACTGTCTCTATATGGATTTCCAGGTGGCGCTGGTAGTAAAGAACCTGCCTGCAAATGGAGGAGACTAAGAGACGTGGGTTTAATCCCTGGATTGGGAAGATCCCCTGGAGAAGGGCATGGCAACCCACTCCAGTATTCTTGCCTGGAGAATCCCATGGACAGAGGAGCCTGGCGGGCTACAGTCCTTGGGATCTCAAAGAGCTGGACATGACTGAAACAACTTAGCGCACACACACAACTGTCTCTATGACAACCATACCTGATTCCAAACATACAGTGAACGTAGTTAAATAAAGCTCTACGCAGCATGGTTGTGTCCACGTCCTCATGGGTGGCCATAGTGTTATAGGTGAGATTGTAGACCATGCGGAACTTCTCATCAAGAAGATGTCCAATATCAGAATAAAGTCTGTTCACCAGGGAGAACCCATGATTTTCCCAGGTATAGTCCTAAAAGAATAAAATGTATTACAAAATGGTCACTCTCCACTTAAAGTCTATGTTTTTGTGAAGTATAACCACTGAAGCAAGTAAGTGGAGGATATTTCAAAGTCTGGAATCCTTTCACGGATTCTAAGTTCGTCACTTCACCAAGACTGCTTTGCCAACACATCAGTTTGTAGATGGAAGGGCCATGCTCCTTCCTCACTGGGTCCAGGATGAGGCACACTGGTGAGAAACTCTGGCTACTTCCTGTGGTCATGTACTGTGCAAACTACGCCTCATTTGGAAGGACCCCAGAAGGCCCTGGAATTTTCCTACGTGACTAAACCTACTCAGTGACATTGATGGCTAGCAGATCATCTGAAACAAGCACAGAGGAGTCTGTTTTCGATCCTGCCTGCACTGTCTTTATGAACCACATCGCTACTGTGGCCCTTCAGTCCATAATTATAGACATATGGCCTTTTTATAAAAATGCCTTCTTATTATAAATGTGAACATATCACTCAATTTCCTCCCTGCTTCTCTCCAAAACATGAACATGATACTACTACCATGCAATAATGCAAGTAACCACATAAAGCAGTTTCCTTTTGCCTTCTTGGGGTTGCAGGTAGAGGGGATGCTGAAATAATAATCCATCAACTGGGACATCAAATTAGACAAGGTTGAAAAGTAGGTTAAATAAAGATATTTATAGATTCTATCAAAATCATCTATTAGTTTCTTTGGGAGTCAACTTATTCAACATTTCACAGTTTTAAAATGACAGTATCTTTTCTCCAATTTCTCTCAATTAAAGGCGTCTCATACCTGAGCTCGGAAAGTTGGCAAATGTTCCTCCCCTCGTCTGGCAAAGTCTTCATATCCAAAACCAGGGTCTTCAATATATCGGGAGACATCAGATGTTATAATCATGTCATCCTCAAAATCTAAGGACAATAATGAACAATCTGGTGTTAAGAACGCTGTACAGAGTTAGAACAATGAATTAACTGCACTTTCTTTCCATTTTTCACTTTAGCTTTTCCAAGGATTTCCACAGTGACAATATTGACTACATGCCTTACATTCACACAAAATACCTTTTGCTCAAGTTTTGAATACAATTTCATTACTAAATACTGGCAACTGTAACATTTAGCTGTAGCTATTCAGGCAAAAAATTGACTAAATTAAAATATCTAAATATTATTTTAGCCAAAAAGTTCACTTGGGATTTTCTGTAAGATGTTACAGAAAAATGTAAATGAACTTTTTGGCCGACCCAATACAAACATTTTTTTCCCTAAATTTACCTTAAGAAGCTAAAAATTTCTTAAAAAGGAGTTAAAATTAATATTCTGACAAATCTAAAACTCTAATTAATTTTAATTCTATTTAAACAAATGTTTCAAACTCTGGACTCAAAGGAAATAGTACTTTGCATATTATCCGCATTCTTCTGCTCCTAGGAGATGGATACAAATAAAATACAGAAAATACTATGTTACAGTAATGGAACATCATTCTAATTTGAAAAGCAGAAAACTAATACATGCTAGTCAACTCTGTTACCAAGCTATAGAATAGTACCCTTGTAGAAAACTTCAAACATTTTCTTCAAAAGACTTGAAAAACTATTCTTAGAATCTCTAAATGGAATCTGAAATGCTTTATCATACTGATCAAACCAAGAAACTTGTTATAGGGAAAAATAAGTTTCTATTTCCATTTTAAAACACGGTAAGTCTACAAAAATAACTCAGCCACATACTGAGTCATTCTTCTCTTATCTTTGTGTGACCAGCAAATTTAGTACTGGGAATGGTGAAGAGTAAAGAATGAAACAATTTATTTCCTAATTTAAAAATGATATAGCCTTTTGTTAAAATCAGAATATAACTTTCCACCAAGGTCTAAGACTTGCTGGTCAAAGTTCACTTTAAAAGGCAAAAGTCCTTGCTCAAGCATCCAAGAAGGGAAAGACTGACATTCTAAAATATACTTTCAATAATAAGAAAAGGGCTTCCCCAGTGGCTCAGTGGTGAAGAATCTGCCTGCCAATGAAGGAGGTACAGGTTCGATCCCTGGTCTAAGAGGATCCCACACGACACGGAGCAAAAGCTTGTGCTCTAAAGACTGAATGCTGCAATTACTAAAGCCTGTGTGCCTAGAGCCCATGTTCTACAACAAGAAAAGCCACAGAAATGAAAAGTCTGAGCACTGCAACTAGAGAGTAGCACTATTAAAATAGCCAGGACACGGAAGCAACCTAGATGTCCATCGACAGACACTTAGGCAAAGAAGTTGTAGTACATATATACGATGGAATATTACTCAGCCATAAAGGAACGAATTTGAGTCAGTAGTAGTAAGATGGATGAATCTTTAAAAAAATTTTAATAAGAGAGTAGCCCCCACTCACCACAACTAGAGAAAAAGCCTGTGCAGCAATGAAGACCCAGCACAGTCAAGAATAAATAAATTAAACAAAAAAATTAAAAGAAATAAAACATTTATGTCCTTCAAGCTCTAGTGGTCTTAGAGATGCTTTAAAAAGAATCAATGTCTAAGGAATTTCTTGGCGGTCCATTGGTTAGGACTGAACTTCCACTGCAGGGCACCTGAGTTCAATCCCTGGTCAGGGAACTAAGATCTTGCAAGCTGCCCAGCATGGCCAAAAAAAGATAAATAAATAAATAAATACTGTCTGTGCCATCTTTCACTGCCATCCAGCTCCAAATACTTTCTAATTTCCACTGCAACTTTTTATTTCCCTATGAACTATTTAGAAGTATACTGTTTTGTTTCTAAACATTTGAGAAACTTATAGTTATCCCTTACTGATTTCTAGCTTACTTCTGTTACAGTCAAAAGTTATACCCTGTAAAGTTTAAGTCTCTTAAAATTTGCTGATACCTGCTTTATTAACAGTATATGGTTGATATTGGTAAATTTTCTATGTGCACTTGAAAATAATGGTATAGGTTGCAGTTTGGGATACAGTGTTTTATTTATGTCAGGTAAAGCATGCTAAATAAGTTTACTCTCTTTCTCTGGATTTTGTATCTACTTACTTTTAGTTATAAAGAGATGTATATTAGAATTTTTCACCCCGTGTGACCCCATGGACTGTAGCTGCCGGGCTCCTCTGTCCATGGGATTTCCCAAGCAAGAATATTGGAGTCAGTTGCCATTTCCTTCTCCAGGGGATCTTCCTAATCCAGGGAAAGAACCTGCATCTCTTGCATTGTAGGTGGGTTCTTTACCTCTGAGCCACCAGGCAAACCCAAATTTTTCAGACTTACAAAAATTAATGTCTAAAAGTAAATACATACTACTAACTTTAATACAATGTTTGCATTTTAAAATATTGGCTTCCCTGGAAGGTTTATCCTATGCTCATTACTTCCCTTTGTCCCACTTGTTTTCTCTGGATGATTTTTTATAAACAGCTCTTTTGACTTTAACTCCCAAATATATACCGATAACTTCCAAAACTTTATTTTGGGCTTAAAACCTTCTCCTGTTCAACCCTGGCTGCTCCAAGTGTGGTGTGCAGGCCAGCAGCATGAGCATTACATGAAGCCATGAATGAAACATAGCTTCTCAGGTCCTGGTGCAGACAGACTGAACACAAATCTGCATTTCAACAAGATTCCTCAGTGATTCACATGCATATTAAAGTCTGAGAGGCACTTGTAGATGTTTCCAGACTGGAGGTTTTATAGACATCACAACTCAACATGTCGCAAATATGGCTGGTTACATGATCTTTAAGGCTGGAAAGGTCATCATGATAAGGCCTCTATCTACCTAATCAGCTTCCTGTTCACAATAGCTACCTCATGTGTCACGTCCTAACAACGCAGAATCAACTGCTCCTGCACCCACCATCCTGTTTCCTCACCACTGTGCGTTGGCTCAGGCAGATGTGCTGTTTACCACCAACTCCCCATCCCCGAGCCACTGCCTGACTCCCCTGCACTCAAGTCTCTAAGGTTTAGCTTACAGCCAAGCGGCTGGAGGAGGTCTTTTCCCAGGACCCCTTCGGTCCACACTGCTCCCTCTCCATCACTGGCTCCATTTACTCCTCACTTTCTGCTTTGTATTGCAGCTATTTCTCTCTCTCCCACTAGCAATGAGAGCCTGCAGAGGGCAGCAATCACATCTCATTTAGCCTGAAAACATGCCTACCACTCTGAGTCTACGTGGAGTACAATAAATGTCTGTAGTATGAATAGCAAACCAGTAACTGAAACGCTTCTTTATGTTTGGGATTTCCTGCTGGTCAGAAGTTCTGAGAAATTATTAATAAATATACTCAATTTGGTAAATAAAATCTTTCATAAAAGAAATCACTGGGGAAATGATAAAAGAGGGATCTCATTCTTCCTGGTAAAATTTCTGAGAGCTATTGGTCAATGCCATATTTAATATTAACAAACCAGTCATGGCCAAATCAATTACCCTCAGGATTTATGAAACTGACTAACCTTATGACGAGTCATTTTGAAGCCCTCTTTTAAACCTATGGAGCTCTACTTTAAATGTTATGTAGATTGATGACTTGGAAGGGTTTAAGCTTTCAAAGCCTACTGAATCCATGCTATTTTAATAACATGTACTATGTGGTGTTCAATATCTTTTTAAGTTGTAATTGAAAAGTTTCCCTCCTATTTCAAAGTCTCTCAGAGTATTAGGAAAAGAAATGTATTTTAAAGACTAAAGCAAAGAAGTCTTTTGATACAGAAAATCCTAACTTTTAATACAGGATGAATTCCTCCAAATTCAACCTAAGAAAATGACCTGAATAATACATTTTTATATAATTCCAAAGGTTTCTCCAAAGAAATGCAAGTGCAAGTGCAGTGTAACTTTAGAAATAATCTGGAAAAAACCAGCAGTGTGAGAACAATCCTTCCACACACTCCACACCCACAAAAAAGGAAGAGATATTTCTTACAAATTACATCTATTGAAACAGGATTTTACTTACCACTAAAAAAAATCACACAAGTAGGATGGGTTAAATACTCTTATCTAACTTTATAAGCAGTTGGTCTGCTCTGAATAACATTTTATCCAGGATACAAGCATGAACTGCATACATAGCTGAAGTACCTCTCAACTGATCTGAAATATATTCAAAGATGCAGCAACACAAGAGGGGAAGCAACAGTATTAGCATCAGGTAGAAGGGAACTAAATAGAAGAAACGTGATAGTGGAATCATTCCGTTATCCATATGGAAAATATTGAAGGTGGTCTGAGGTGGTCAGTCAGGGTTCTAAGAACAACAGGGATCTTCCCGACCAAGGGATGGAACCCGGGTTTTCTGCATTGCAGGCAGATTCTTTATTATCTGAGCTACCAGGGAAGTCAAAGGCAAAGACAAAAGGCAAAAACTGAAATAGAAAAAGCACCTGAAAGAGGAAATGAATGAAAAGTATCTCCAGAGACCACAAAAAGACTTTCTTTCTTCTCCTTCTCAAAGCGAGTGGTCATTTCTTCCTGAGATGCCTCTTCATCTTCCCTTTCTTCTTGAAGCCTTTTCATTCTTTCCATTAAGGCCTCTAGCTCACTTAGAGAATCGACAATCTGGAGCCAGAGAATATAATATTGGGTGTTATTAATATTAAAAGTTGTTCTAGTAAATGTCTCCATCTCCCAATGTCACCTTATGTACAGTGGCACTAGCATAGTCATTAATTTCCTAAGTGGGCTTTCCAGTAACTCCAAAGAAAATCATATGGGAAAACCAACATTTTCAGAGGTATAATGTTTCTTCTCCAGCCATAAACACAGAAAGTTTATAGGAATGGATTTATTTAATCTAGAATTCTACTGGGTTGGCCAAAAAGTTCATTTAGGTTTTCCCATAACAGCTTTCAGAAAAATGCAAACAAACTTTTTGGCGAACCCAATACAACAGAATTTGATATATATTAGATTATATTATCACTTATTTCTAAAACTGGGACAGCCTTACAAGCCTTATGATTTGTAATTGCTTTAAAAACCTCCTTAAGACAATTCAGAACTTCAGGAACAGGTTAAATTTTTAGGATAATAAAAAAATTATACAAAATATTTCAAGCCTATAATATCCTGTTTAATCAGATAATTTCTCTAGATGTTTTTAACATAGCAAGTTTAAAGGCAAAGCAGTAAAGAAAAACAGTTAAGAAAACGAACCCCGAAGTTGCTGCCTGTAAGAGATGCATTCTCTATGTTGTTGTCATTAGCGAGATCACACACACAGAAATTGTTGACTGGTATTAGCCTGAGTCCATTGGAGATTTCTGGATCTCTTTCTGGATTGATGCCACTACCAAAAACAAAGCTTGCCAAAGCATGATAATGAGCCAGTAGGACCACAGCATGTACCAGTTCAGGCAGAGACCAATTATTTTCTCCAGTTTTGACAAGTTTCTGAAATGAGAAAGCCAATCAAGAATAAAAGTGAAAACCACAGAATGTTACAAAGCAATTTTATAAAGTATTGAAAAATGTATAAAATTTCATATGTCCATTTATAGTAATAATACTTAAAATTCCATTTAAACTGTTTCATATATTAAAGATACAGCTTTGGTCAAACAATATTACATTAAACTTATCAAAACTAACAACAGAATTACATTGTGGCTTCTCTGAAATTCCTTATACATATAATGGAGTTTCTGTTTCCAAAGCACTTTTCTATATTATGCTATATTAATAAGGTATTTTAGAGAATCCAAAAACATTTATGCTAGAAGGGACTTTAAAGTTTCTCTAGCAAGACCATTCATTTGAAGGTTTTAAAGGTAGAGACTACCTTAAAAATAACATAAATATTTAATTCAGTAGGTCAACTTTTAATTGTCTTTTAGATATTGTCTCTGATAGAGAAAGAACCTACAGCAGATGATAGACACTGTAGAAAACTACCTCACATTTGAAGGGACATTAAAAAAAAATCTGCTCTATTTAAAATGGATAACTAACAAGGTCCTACTGTACAGCACACGTAACTCTGCTCAATGTTATGCAGCCTGGATGGGAGGGGAGTTTAAAGGAGAATGCATATGTGTATATGTATGGCTGAGTCCCTTCGTTATCCACCTGAAACTATCACAACAATGTTAACTGGCTATAATCCAATACAAAATAAAAAGTTAAAAAAAAATAACCCAACAAAAACAAAACAAAAATATCAGAGCACTTTTTTTACATGCTATTTTACTGGATCTTCCATATGAATGGGCTTCCCTGATAGCTCGGTTGGTAAAGAATCTGTCTGCAACTAGGAGACCCTAGTTGGATTACTGGATTGGGAAGATCCGCTGGAGAAGGGGAAGGCTACCCACTCCAGTATTCTGGCCTGGAGAATTCCACAGACTGTATAGTCCATGGGGTCGCAAAGTGTTGGACATGACTCAGAGACTTTCACTTTCACTTTTTCCAGATGAATGTTGGAATCATAAGTGAAGTCATTAAACACAATAACAATTCTAGCTATTAATCCATTCAAGGTTTTCCCCATCAACCCTTATCTATTAATCTGTCTCTCAGTGTGTGTATGAGGGTCTGTTCTCAAATCTAAAACTTTCACTTGGGTCACTTCACATCTAAAAACTAAAACCAAAAAACTGTTTTTGCTTTACTCTCCATTATTTAACTACATACAAATTTAATACATTACCAAAAGTTCAGGGGGTAAAAAAGGAAAAATCAATCATATTCTACCACTTTAATGTAACTTTTACATATCTTATTTTATGTTTAAAAAGTATAATTAAATAATCAGAGTATACATCCATTTTTCTCTGCTTTTCAAACTTTTTGAAAAATTTGATTTTCATGAGGCTCCTCTGTCTTCAATTAATTATATTAAGCATGGGCATATTGTAGCCCAGAACTACAGTTCCATTTCCTTACACATTTAAATTGCTTCTAAATTTCTTATTTGCTACTATAAATAACACCTTTATGCTATAGCTTTGTTCATATTTTATAAACAAGCCCTAATAGATAATACAAATCTGAGAGTATACAGACTGACAAAAGCTAAGTTTGGTTTAACTGGGCAAATAACTAACAAAATGAGGGAAAAAACAAAACCAAGGACATTTCTAATGCATTAGAAGAAGGGATTTTAAGTACCTAAGGCTTCTACTGATAATGATTTAGCTGATGACCCCTACTAACTGAATATTGCCAAGCATGGTGCTAAGCATGAATTCAACAACCTCATCCTGGAGGCTTTTCACAGATGCTACTTTTGAAGGGCAAGTGCTCCAGTCAATCACAGTTCTCTTTCCTCTTTCTTACCTAAGTTCTAGTCTCTAGAGGCATGTAAGTATATACAGATCAGTTGGCAAATCACTTTTATTTGCAAAATCATTTTTTCAAAATCTTAAAATTATGAAATGTTAGAACTGCAAAAGAGTTTAGAACTCATTTCATCTAGGCATCTCATTTATAGAAGGGTGAACTACCAAGGCCCACAAAAGTTAACTTACTAAAGGTCACACATTTTGTAGTTAACAGAGTTAAAGACTAGAACCTACATATGTTATCCTCCTAAAGCATTTTCTTTGTTCTGCCTACTGCTTGAAAATAGAAATCAACTTTTCTTATAGTTATTTGCTAATTACTAATTACTTAAAGAGAAGCAGGCTTCCCTGGTAGCTCAGCTGGTAAAGAATCTGCCTGCAATGCAGGAGATCCCTGTTCAATTCCTGGTGGGGAAGATCCACTGGAGAAGGGAAATGCTACCCACTCCAGTATTCTGGCCTGGAGAATCCCATGGACTATATAAGTCCATGGGGTCACAAAGAGTCAGACATGACTGAAAAGACTTTCACTTACAGAGAAGTATTCATTTATATTTAACTTAAACCCACTGACTTCTGTTGTCTACACATTTTAATACACTATTTTATTTATTTTTCAAATTCCTAACATGCAAGTATTTCAAATTAAGTCTTAAGCAAAATATTTAACTGAAAATAACTCTTACTAAGAATCATTAGTAAAATTTCTTTCTCCCCTAAAGAAATACTCAGTACCTGAATGTGCTCTTTTGTGATCAGCCAGGGTCGGTGTGCTAACAGCTTGTTTATTTCATTAAGATTTTTCAGTCTTTGTGGTACATATTCCAAACCATTCAACCATTCAGCAATACCTCCTGTCTTTAAAAATTCATCCACATGCATGTTTATTAAGTAAGAACACTGATGTCTAGCTGCAGCCTACAACACACACAAAAAGAGTTGGTGGATAAAACAGTCATGGTCGGTCTTATTATACAATTACTAAGGCAGTCATTTAAAGTTCATTTTTATAGCTAATAATTCTTTTCTTAGAGATGCTCTTCCTAGAACTTTCATCACAATGTTGTCATAGATTCTTAAATCAATACATAAAACTGATACTTAATATAAGTAAATGTCACATGAAGCTAATTACTTCCTCATCCAGAAGTAGTAGGGGTCAATCTAGAACCTATTTTCTATTTATGTGAAGGAAGTATATGTTCATTGCATTATGGTAAATGATATCAACTGTATTCTATTTAAAACACAATGAAATCTCATTAACTTGTACCAATTCAGAATATATACTAGTTTGAATATTTTTCTTATTCCCTTTGAAATAACTGTGAATCAGCCTTATCTGTGCCCATCCTCCTATTGAGATGAAACTGAAGCTCACTGACCCTTTCCTAGGCAAGCCAGAAAAAGCCTTGATAAACTGGTAAATCCATGCAAAACAGACTTTTCACCGCTCATTTCCTCAATTAAATAGTAGTTTTACTCTGTTTTCCAAATCTTATTTCTCTGTCCGTGACCATTCTAAGTTGGCTTTCAGCCTTAGTGTCGTCAAAACCTTAAGCTGAGTAATCTTAGTCAAGTTCATCATTTAATAAAACACAGGATGCAGCACTTATTTTGTTGTTTAAAACTTCAGTGAGAGCATAAACAAATTAAACTTGATAAAAACTAACTCCTGGCTGGCTCTGATCGCTCTGCCAGCCCAAATGTTCCCCTAACGTCTCCAAATATATTGCACTTGCATCTTGTTCTTTTCTCCAGCAACAGTCCAACTATAGCACTGTTTCTATCTTCTTATTCCTGCTGCCCATCATCCCAATTTATAATTTTCTCCCTTTCAAACATTAACTAGTTAACTAGCTTGTACCAAGTACTAAACTTGGAAGTAGTATAACTTATTTAAGAATTCTTCTCTGACAGAGTCACCTTTGGTGCTAATACTTTGCTATTATTTAGCCAAATTAGTGATATTCTTCATGTACAGAATGACTAAATAAAAAGTCACAACCAACCTGTTTTATATTAATACTGAAAGAAAACTATTAGGAGTAAAAAGAAAACTTGAGGGACACTAGGAACTTTTACTTTCGACCCTATAAACATCTTTAATCATGAGATTAAACGTGGGAGACGACTTTACTAATAATTAAATCAGAAACATTCAGTATATTAAGTGGGTTACAACATTCAAGATGTAGCCAGTGGATTTGGAATCCAAAAGGTCACAAGCTTCTCGAGTTATTGTTTCCGTGAAATTACACTTGGCTCTGCACCACACGTAACACCAGCAGGGAGAGGGACTAAATGAGGGCAGAGTCACGTGAGCACGGGAACCGGAAGTGAGCGCACCATGATGGCGATGTAGTGCCGGTGCGGGAGAGGGAGGGGGCCGTCCATGCGCAGCATGTAGAACTGGCTCCTCAGGAAGGACTCCAGGTACTGCGTGTGCAGGCTCATGACCTGGGTGATGTTGTCCAAGCGACCGGATGTAGAGTATTCTTCCACAAGAAAGTTAGTACGTTCATCCACTGTGTTTGCCTGGACAACCTTTCAACCAAGAAACACAAAACAAAATCACGACTGAGAAGTAAACACACCAGTGGTTTAGATGCATTATTCCACGACTGAAACCGATGAAGGTCCTTTTGGTATTAACAGACACTGAAATAATGCAGTTGTTCATACTAGAAACAGAAATGAAAACAAAAGCACCATTCATTTTTGGCTCTGGGACCACAATTTATTAAACAACAAATGTCAAATTATCAAACATTATACACACAGCTATGAAATTGGAGAAAAGAAGCTTCCATCTGCTTTGCCAGGCACATAAGGCAAAAATTTTCAGGGCCTGCTTGCCTGGCTATTGTCACACCGATTCGTGGGGAGGGAAAGCATTCAGAATTTTCTCTCAATAGCCTATGAACACACTTAACGACTATATCTTAGGACAGACATTTTCCAGTCTCATCCCTTGCTTGTTTTCGTTATTCAACATTAAAAAAGCTTTCTGCAGTCTTTTTTGGGGACAAAGAAAAATAGGATAATTTGTAGGAAAGTGTTAATTGAAAAATTAATAGGACACTAGATTCCCGTTTTAAGCTTATTATATTAATTACTAGAAACAAGGTAAGTTATTAAAATGGATGTGCAGCATCTGAGAAAATCAAAAGGACTTTCTCAAAAATAGATTATTTACATACAGGTTTATAAACAGTGACAGCTTAGGCGTCATACCAACAATTGGCTTCTGAAGGTGTTAAGAGCTTATTAGCACCCCGTGGAAGGACTTGTTTCAGTGGGAATCAATGGACATCAGATGTGTATTTCTTGGCTTGGTTCATTATTTATTAGCATTTTAGAATTAGAGTTCTAGACTTAGGAAGAATTTGTCCCTTATTTTAGATAAGGTAACAGGCTCAAGATTAAATGTCAGTTCATATAGCTATTTAATAGCAGAGCCTGGTCTAGAATCTCCTCAAATCTAGACTCATGGTCTTTCTAAAGATCCATACTTGCTCTTAAGAAGCTCTGTTTACTTTTCAGCGCTGGCTTCACAATCTCTTCTGAAGATAAGTAGAGATTATACAAAGGCACTATTGATTGAGGAAAATTTAATCCCAAAGGAAATGTAATGTTTGAAAAGTGTTAATTGTGAGGAAGTGTTAATTACAACAGTGTAAAAAAAAGGCAATTCCACTTTGGCTCACTATAAAACCAAATGTATCTCCATTTGTTCATGTCCTCCCATTTTGTCAACTACAGGGAACCAAGACGACAGTTAAAAATGGAATAGGATCATGATAAACTCTATATAATTAGGGACAGGATATTTGTTGTTTTTGTTTTGTTTTCCAGCAGAAGATTCTTCTGCTTAACTGATGCCTAAAAGACATTAATAGATTCATATGATGCAACAGAGCCTGGAAACAGCCATTGCTGCTGCAAACCAGATTGTCTCCAAATACATTCTGTGTAAATGGCAGTATTTCAGGAAGTCTTTATATATGTATTAGGCAATCACTCTGCTTAAGAGCAGCCATGTGCTCTATGAGGGAAACAGGACAAGCCCAACAATTTCTCTAATGCGTGGTCACCACCTAGATCAGCTACAGTCCCTGAGCTCCTGAAACATTACAGGTAACTTTGGAGTTTCATGTGAATGGCAAGGTCACTAAAAAGGCAAAATGAACATGGTGGAACTGCTGACTCTAGTGATGACCTGACATATATTATTATTCAAATTCTACTCATTCTTTAAGGGATACCTGAGACATCATATGTACTCTAAATATGTGTTGACTAATTTCTGAACAATATAGGAATAATGCTAGCGCTTTAAGATAAATGATATCTTTTATAATTAATAAATAGTAAATCAGTATATATAACCAATAGTAACTCAGTATATATAACCATGGTTAATATGAGTTAATAACTCCTTGAAGCTGAGAAAAACTCAATTAGTGGGCCTTAAATTTTTCTTAGCCCAACTATAAGTTAAAGGCAGCTAGGAATCTCCAGGTCCTAAACATTGCTGTGATCTTTCATAGAGATGTATACCCACTAAACAGGCACGAAAATTTTCTTATAGTATCTTTTGTGTCATTTCACAATCTTTCTTTCTGCATTTATCATCTTGACTCCTCTAGCTTCATCAAAAGTGCAGCTTGTAGTGGAGATTCTCTGACATTCTGTCTCATGAGAGACTTAGAACCAAATGAAAAGATTAATTACTAGTGATATAATATCATGTTTTCTTCAATAGATTTGGGAAACTTACTTTTTCATTTTAAAATGTCTTTTCTTAACATTTATGTAACCTATAATCACCGTGAAACACTGGCCATTTTAAAACCTTAAACCTACATGATAATATTAAGTTTTATTACTGTTAGCAGCTTTGTTCAGAAATGTTGTATTTGAAATCAAATATGCTAAAATTTATATTTTTCTAAACTTGCAGTACTGTCTAATTCCAAATAAGACGATTATTACACATACAATCTTTCAAGTGAAGTTGAAAATACTTCTGTGGTTTTCTGACAAATAAGAATAAGAGCAAAACACATGTTTACTTCCATATTAAAAAAATGCAGATATTCTTTGACACAATTGAGTTATTTTTAAAATCACTATATATATATTAAGACAGAATGACTTACTTCCTTCTCTGGAATAAAGGCACTTGGTCCTCTTGTCAAGGGTTGAGATACTCTGATTCTTTTATCCTGTTTTTAAAAGAAAAGTTTTATGTATTAATGATGACTTTCCATGAAAAGTTAAACTGGTATAAATTGCTAAATTATAAAATAAATGGAATAAGTAAATAGAATTATGTAAAATCAGAGTGTTAGGTCTTGGATTCCGCCCCTTCCAGCCGCATAACAAACAACAACAGCAAACAACCGATGGGGTCATTGTATGAACAAGATAATGAGACAGAAAGCTCCTACCACAGTGCTGGGTACACAGGCAGGCTCCTCAAATATTATTTCCCTCAGTCATATTCTATAGCACCAGAGAATTTTTAGCCCATATTTCACATGACTGGAAACCATCAGCCTCCATAATAAAATCATATCTAATAGTATATTAGGACACTGTTAAACCTCAATTTGAAAGCTAAAGGAAAAGTTAGATTCTAAGAGTATTACACACAACCTCCTAAAGCAATGGTCTTATTTCTGTTTTTCTTTCTGAATAAAATAGGAATAGGCATATCTAATATAAGCTTCTGAAGCTTTAGGTAAGAAAAATGTAAAACATGGAGAAGTAGAGGTTAATTTAACCTGAGAAATGGAGACTATAATAATGTTTATTGTTCTATTGCTATTCTACTTAGTATTAATAACTGCCAGATTACCAATGGTATGTCTGTGTTCATTTTAACTTTTTTTTTAAATATGGTTTTTGTGGCCCCATTTAAGTACATTCATCTATAAGTCAGAAAAACTCCCATCAGGAACGAAATTCCTCCTCTGCCGGCATAAGGAAGAGCAGGCAGAGTCAGAGGCAGACTCTCAGGTTTTGAGACCCTTCTTACCAGGAGAAGAGACGGGGGGAATGGCTACTTGATTTTCTATAATTAAAGTAATAAGTTTGTGAAAGAGAAGCCCTTTAAAGTTGTGCCATAAAAACAGGGACTATGCTGCGGTTTATGAATATTCTAACGACCTGAGTGAGAGACTGAAGAACAGGGGAAGGAATGTTAACAGGAGAGGAATGTTAACATTAAGCTTGCCCTTCTCCCCGCTCCCTCCTTCCCTATCTCTTTATCTGCAAGGTAGCCTGAATCTTTTTTGTTCCTTACAGTCCAAGAGTCTACCAAACACAAAAAAAGTATTTGAATCCCTGACTTCATTAGGAAGCAGTCAAGTATTCAATAATCTTTTGAGAACCTAACCAGATACCGTGGTAGCCTCAAGATACAGGGTGAGCAAGATAGACATGGGCCCTGCCCTCAGAAGTTTGGCACACAATCTCCAACAATTTTCAGGGTGCTAGTGAGATAAATATATTAAATAATGATCATCTTAAACTGCTAGTGCTTTAGGAAGAACTAATCATCTAGTTTATATTTGTCAAGGGATGACAAAGAGATCTCAATCTGCTGGTGAAGTACATTAGAAGATTCTATGTCAAAAAAAACAATTTAGAATTTCTAATATTGGTATTTCTTGCCTGCATCAACCATCATCTGGGTTTACCTAGAAAAATAATTAAGAAGAAAATGACGGACTTCTTCCCCTTGCTAGTCTTGGTAAATTATAGGAAATAAAAATTTGAATACTCTCTATATAACACAGCCTAATGCACCAGTATGTGAAAGGCAATTTCCTTGACAACTGATCATTTCAAATAAACAAAGCAGTTAGACGAACTGATTGTGAGGACAGATCACAGGTTTGAGGGGGAAAATGTCAAAAGGGAGATAAGCGGAGTCTTTTATACATATTTATTTTTAAAAATACATGAAATTCAGAGAAAATATAGGGAGAGAAAAATAAACTAAAAGTATACAAAGGGACTTTGGAGATAGAGAATGATTTATTTTTTAAAATCATTACTTGATATATTTATCAACTGATTTACCTTTAAAGGTCTGAAATAGTTATTTTGCCTACAGAAATATCTTCTGGATTGGCCAAGGTTTAAATCTGAAATACATTTTCATCACAAGTGGAATTGCATACTACTATACTTAAAAAGAATATAACATCTGTTAATTTTAACCAGTTGATAAGAAGCAACTGATATGATTTCATTTGTGTCAACACTCATTTGTTCATTTATTCAGCAGATATTCACTGAGCATTCACAATGTGCTGCTGCTGCTGCTGCTGCTAAGTCGTGTCAGTCATGTCCGACTCTGTGCGACCCCATAGACGGCAGCCTACCAGGCTCCGCCATCCCCGGGATTCTCCAGGCAAGAACACTGGAGTGGGTTGCCATTTCCTTCTCCAATGCAGGAAAGTGAAAAGTGAAAGTAAAGTTGCTCAGTCATGTCAGACTCAGCGACCCCATGGACTGCAGCCTACCAGGCTCCCCCGTCCATGGGATTTTCCAGGCAAGAGAACTGGAGTGGGTTGCCATTGCCTTCTCCGTCACAATGTGCTAAGTACAGCCAAAGAATTGATGCTTTTGAACTGTGGTGTTGGAGAAAACTCTTGAGAGTCCCTTGGACTGCAAGGGGATCCAACCAATCAATCCTAAAGGAAATCAGCCTTGAATATTTATTGGAAGGACTGATGCTGAAGCTGAAACTCCAACACTTTGGCCACCCGATGCAAAGAACTGGCTCATTGGAAAAGATCCTGATGATAGCAAAGATTGAAGGTGGGAGGAGAAGGGGACGACAGAGGATGAGATGGTTGGATGGCATCACTGACTTGATGGACAAGAGTTTGAGTAAGCTCTGGGAGTTGGTGATGGACAGGGAAGCCTGGCATGCTGCAGTCCATGGGGTCACAAAGAGTTGGACACAACTGAGTGACTGAAGTACAGTGGGGACACAAAAAAGTAATAGACTGGCAGAAATGCATTAACTATATCATAGTTTGTATATGCATACACAAAGCAGTATGGAAGTACATCATTTTATGAATCATCATTTACTTAGTCAGTTGCTTCCCCAATGGTTCAGTGAATAAGGAAGTTGCCTGTGATGCTGGAGACACAGGAAATGTGGGCTCAACACCTGGGTCAGGAAGATCCCCTGGAGAAGGGAATGGCAACCCACTCCAATATTCTTGCCTGGAAAATCCCATGAACAGAGGAACCTGGTGGGTTCTAGTCCACGGAGTCACAAGAGTTAGACATGACTTAGCCACTAAACCACCATGGTTTATGTTGGTGTATAGTTTATGGTGGTGTATGTACAGTTTTATTACCGTAAATAGTGAATAGATATGATGAATATCTTTGTATAAAGAGACTTGGGGGCATATTTTGCAGTATTTAAGATGCTTTTTTTAGAAAGATTCCTAGATGTGGATTTATTGGGGTTTAGGTTATAAATCTTTAAAGTTCTTGTTGCATACTACCAATATGCTGATGAAAAAATGCTTTACCAATTTTATTTTCATCAGTTGAGAAAATGTTCACTTAACTCACTAACATCAAAAGTGAAAGACAGCCTTCAACAAATGTTTCTGAAACTTTTAATTGGATACACGGTGGTGGTGTTGGTGGTGGTGACTAGGTCACCAAGTTATGTCTTGACTCTTGCAACCCATGGACTGTGGCCTGCCCTCTGCCTGTGGGGCTTCCCAGGCAAGAATACTGGCCTGAGTTGCCGTGCCCTCCTCTGGGGGATCTTCTCAACCCAGGGATGAACCCTCATCTCCTGCACTGGCAGGTGGACTCTTTACCACTGAGCCACCAGGGAAGCAACTGCATACACAGTTCAGATAAAAATTCCCTAGGCAGAGTTGTGGATCAGATCTGTGTTTTTAATAATACAATTCTTGGTGTGATACAGTCACTCCAGAGGCGGAAAAAAAAAAACAAACCCCAAACAAATAAAAATACTCCAAAAGAGAAACAAACAAACCCCCAGCTAGGAAGCTATTGCAATAGCCGAGGAGGGCAGAGATGATGTGGCCTCACCTAAGAGAGCTATTTATACACTGAAAAATGAGAGTCACTCTGTCATGTCCGACTCTTTGTGACCCCATGGACTACAGTCCATGGAACTCTCCAGGCCAGAATACTGGAGTGGGTAGCTGTTCCCTTCTCCAGGGGATCTTCCCAACTCAGGGATCAAACCTGGGTCTCCCACACTGCAGGCAGATCCTTGACTGTCTGAGTCACGGGAAGCCCACGGAAGAGAAGGGAAAAACTAACACTTTAAAATTACACCAACATGTAGCCTTCTTCAGTTATATTTTAAAAATGGTGTCACTATTGAAAGAATCAGCCTACTTCCTGCTTCTGTAAAAGAAGCGTCTTTTCTGGTGAGGATACTACTATATACAACTGCTTTGTATATTTATATGAAGGTAAAAAAGTTCTTTCAATGATCAAAGCAGTTTATAAATTCTCCTTAAAATTCATTCTACTGAATGCTTATTCCCCACCTACTTTCTATCTCTGTATGTTTTTAAAGTCAATAAAATAAAACACAAAAGAAGTAGGATACAGTCATAACCTAAACATTGAGTGAGTGAGTGAAGTCTCTCAGTCATGTCTGACTCTTTGTGACCCCATGGACTATAGGAGCCTACCATACTCCTTTGTCCATGGGATTTTCCAGGCAAGGGTACTGGAGTGCCTCCTTGGAGGAGGGTATGGCAGCCCACTCCAGTATTGCTGCCTGGAAAATCCCATGGATGGAGGAGCCTGGCGGGCTATAGTCCATGGGGTCCAAAGAGTCGGACATGACTGACTTCACTTTGTAGCTCAGTTGGTAAAAAGTTGAGAGTTATGTTTTATTTGATGGAAATTTTGAGGACTTAAGCCCAGGAGGCAGCATTTCAAGTAACCCTGAGAGAATTGCTCTAAGGAGGCAGGGGGAGGAGTCAGGTTAAATAAAAATTTGCAACAAAGGGCAGGTCTGAACATCAAAAGTATTTTTGTGAATTAAAGAAAACCAGATACCTCAAGTCAAGGAATTTAGTGTTTTTCTACATATGGGAAGATGCAAGAGCCTAAGCTCACTGACATCATTCCTTTCATATGCATCTCAGCTCTCTGGGCCAGTATCCTGCATTTTTTTTCCCATTTATTT